AATCTAGTGCTAAAGTCGCGCTCGTGTGTGTGAGACGTGGGAGCTGATGGCAGCGGGCGCTGGATATTTGTGGCGGTCAGTGTGGATATTGTGGATGAGTTCTTCTGTGTCATCACGTTCTATTAGTTCTACAGCTTCAGTTTCTGAACTTTCACGCTTAGTAACACATACAGCTGTTCCCTCACCACAGTGCAACAGTGAAAAGAGACCCCTTTCAAACAGTGTTCCCAACGTTGTTTAAGCGACATACGTATTGCGGTATTAAAAAAATTAATATCATAACAAAAATAAACACCGGTATTCGGTATGAACCGGTATACCGCCCAGCACTACCCAGAATGACTCGATTCGTTCCAATGCTTCTGTGACCTCAAATGAGCTTTAAAAATGCAATAAGAGTGGTCATAAATTGACGCAAGTCACTAAAGGCTTCAGTGTGAGCAGATACTGATAGCGTCTGTCCTTTCATCAACTCTGTGTTGTTCAGCACCTGCGAGGGTCACTTCTGTGGACACGCGGTCGATGGCGAGGACGTCTCCAGCTCCATCGTCACACGCCTCGATGTAGAACTTCTCCGCAGTCGTGTGTCTGTCAGCGAGAGGAAAGACATTCAATGCATTTAATGCAGTCAAATCCTTACAACAGAGCAGAACTTATAATTCTGTGAGTGAAAATATATCATATATACTTATACTTAGCCTCCAACTCACACACTGGCGAGTAAAATCTGAGAATCTATTAGCCAGTGGCTAATATTAGACATCATTTAGTCGCCAGAGTGAAGATTTAGTCGCATATGCGAGTGATTTACTCGCAATGTAGAGGGTTGACTATAATAACCAGCACTGGTGTAAATGATGACAGATGTATTTAGGCCTGTCGCAATAATCAATATATCGACTTATCGCGCAATATATGTACATGACCTCAATATATCGCCCATTATATTTACTTCAAAATTAAAGTCACCATGTTTAGTACATTCCACTTGCGCCTGTGTCTTCTCGTACATGACTTGATGTAGTTATGAGGTGCTAGTTCAACTTTAACAAATGCTTCTACAAACAAAGTTTCATCTGCAGATATGGCCTTGTTTAGGGATCTGACGCACATCTGAGTGCCGAGTAGTGCTTGTGTTTCTCAGCAATAGTGTGCACCCTTCATTTACAGAGAAAAGAAGGTTTAGGAAAATCTGTAGATGGAAAAATCTCCATAAAAGTGTTTTTTCTTTTCTTTTTTCTCTACCTTGCTACTTTGCACTTTTTGTTAGAGAATGTTTATTTACTATTTATTACGGTATCTAATATTTCGATACTTAATTTCCATGATCTAAATATTCTCAAAAATTAAAAGTGTGTTGTCATTTGGAAGTGTGTGGTAGGCCTTCTTGCATTAGTATGCCGTTACATTATGATTCTATATTCAGTGGCATAAAACGGTCTTTAATATGACAATAATATCGCTTATCGCAGTTATTTCTGGGGCAATATATCGCACAACAAAAACTTGTTATCATGACAGTCCTAGACACACTACACAACTTATTATATTGCACTACATTATATATAAATTATAATGTAGTGCAAACTTGCATATTAATTAGGCTGTGCGCGTTAGACTGTACGTAAACTTTATTTACAAAAATGTAGATTTGCAGCACTTAAAAAAATAGTATTTGCTGAAAACAAGTGAATTTCTTACAATTCTCTAAATTACTTATTTTTATATAATTTGATTTGACATATTCTGGTGTTATTATTATTTGTTATAATAATAAATAAGCCTATTTCTAAAACGCCAAGTGACATTAAGAATGCATCACACTAATCAGAAAAATGAAGTACAGAACTCAACAGAATTAGAATATGTTATAATTATTACAATAGTAAAGCGTTCACAGTACGGGCTTTTTTCACAGTATTTACATCAGACGCTTCGAAACGGAGCCAAGCTTCAACACATAACTAATACATTAAAAATTAGACGATTATTTATTTGATTAAACATTTTTCATACAGAAATGATGTTTTAAATTCTTTTTTTTTAATGGTTGTGCTTATGTTTTTATGATTATTTTACTTAATTTTATGTAAAGCACTTTGAATTATCATTGTGTGTGTGCTATATAAATAAACGTGCCTTGTCTAGTGACATTTAGTGATTTATTATGCGTAAATTACTTAAGATTTATATTGATTAGCCTCCCTTATGAATTTATAATGTGCTTAGTGCTTATTATTAGTTATAGTGATAGCAAATATTATAAATATTATTACATATATATATATATATATATACATATCTACGATTTTGGGACTGGGACGACGACGACGACAAATATTATTACATATATATATATATATATATATATATATATATACATATCTACGATTTTGGGACGACGACGACGACGACGACAACAACAACAACAACAACAAGTTAGCATAGCTAGCTAACAACAGTGTGACCAGTTTTATTCGAGATTAATTGATTTTTGACTGCAATCTGATCAGAATGATTGATGAATATCAGCACTAAGTTATCTGTGGCTCAAAAACAGAACAAGCCGCTCACTTAAATAACATTTCGGGACATAATAACGGCGCTAAGTTACTTGCGGTGTAGACAGACACAGCTAGGCAGCGCGCAAACTGAAAGTAGCCATCACAAGATGGGTACACTGTGGTCATAAAGGGATGGACACAGTCAGCAACAATACTCGGGAAGGCTGTGGCGTAAAGCCCACCAGTTTATAGTTGTCATTTTCCTTTTGTAAGTATTTTTCTAGATGTTATCCACATGAGGCTGTCAAGTTCCTACCCCTACTTCCAGGAAGCATGGCGAAGGCAAACCCTCCCAAATAAATTTTATTTTCATGTTACTAATAAGTATTTTTTGTTGATATATATATATATATATATACATATCTACGATTTTGGGACTGGGACGACGACGACGACGACGACGACGACGACGACGACAACAACAACAACAACAACAACAACAACAACAACAACAACAACAAGTTAGCATAGCTAGCTAACAACAGTGTGACCAGTTTTATTCGAGATTAATTGATTTTTGACTGCAATCTGATCAGAATGATTGATGAATATCAGCACTAAGTTATCTGTGGCTCAAAAACAGAACAAGCCGCTCACTTAAATAACATTTCGGGACATAATAACGGCGCTAAGTTACTTGCGGTGTAGACAGACACAGCTAGGCAGCTGACTAGGCTTTGAGACACCGCCTCAGACAGCACTCACAGGCTTTAACCGACCGCTGAACTCTCTTCGACTCATCTAATCGATAACCAGGACTCGATGAGCGTCGGAGGAGCGGTTAATACTCACAGACTGAAGCTGTTGTAGCTGCTCGCCATTTTCCATCAGCTCGTTCCTGACCTTCGTGACGTGTCACTCCAGCAGCGAACACAAACCGGAAATGACTTCTGGAGGACAGATAAAAGTCCCGTGAGATATGCCTCTCTCTCTCTCTCTCCTTGCTGCTTGAGATTGAAATTGGTGTGCCTTACCATATTATTTTAATGCATTATCCTAATTATGAACGCACTGGTTTGTAGTGTAAACAGTTTTACCGTTCACTGCACTTTTGTTATGCCTCTCGTTATTTTCCTACAGCGGTTACTGAACCGGAAGTCAGCAACCGCTTAAAAAAATAGTTACAGTAAACTTAAAAACAAAAATAATAATTTTATATTTTTCCCCCCCGGTTCACATTCCAACACAACAATCCCAAATGCCTAAGATTAAAAATAGACATTACAAATTAAATAAAATTATTAATAATGATGATACACAAAAAATACATTTCATTCACATAATACTGTAACTGTAAATAATAATAGTAAATAATACACAAACTGTAAATTAGGGAAAGAAAGAGGGAGAATAAATAAAATAAGAATAATAAATAATTGTATTATAAATGTAATTATAATTATTATTTTATTGTATTGATACTTATAATTTAATTATAATTATTATTTTATTGTATTGACATTTATTATAATTTAATTATAATTATTAAAATAAATACATTTTATGGATGATCCCATATATATATAGGTTATTTGCAAAAACAGATACCTCAAATAACGGTTTTTAAAATTCATGTTTTTATTGTTTTCATGTTTTTATTGTGTTAGTTAGCTGTATTTTTTAACCTAATAAAAATATCCCAACTACAGTTTGATTGAGATTCATTGGAATGCAATGGTTAAATGAGTTATCTGTTTTTGCAAATTAAGTCTTTATATATATATATACACACACACACACATATACATATATATATATATATATACACACACACACACACATATATATATATATATATACACACACACACACACACACATATATATATATATATATATATATAAGCATTAGTAATATAACAATTTCTGTAACACATTGCATTCTACTGTAATGATGATGATGATGATGGCACATAAACATAATATAAAGAAAACTAAAGTGTATTTTGTTCTGTTGAAAACCTTTAATACAAAAGTTACAGAAAATAAAGTACAGCTCTGTGTAAAAACAGTCATTGTTTTCAGCAGACAGACAGTCTTAATAGTGAACATCACTGGTGATCAGCGGTACTTCATGCTGGTGCTGGGTTGACGCCGCAGCACTTCATCGCCTTTATCCATGTCTTTAGGTTCATCATAAACTGTGGAGATGTGGAAGTCTTTTCTGGGTTTTTTTAGTGGAAGGAATGAGCTGAGCTTTTCTCCATGATACCTGCAAATATTACAAAATCAAATGCATCAGTCATAACAAAGTCATAGAAATTGAGTAGAGATCATTCACCAAGCATTTAAAAAACAGACGGATATATTATAGATGTGGCTTAGAAGTAATTTAGAGTTCTCACAACTTTTGACCAATATTTTTCCAATATAATTTTTAAAGTTACTGCATAAAGATTAATCTAAAAAGAGCAATTTCTTGGCTATGAAATATTTTAGAGTTGAGCATGATGGAATAAAATGTATATTCACTATAGAATTATTAGTTTCCATTATATGTTAAACTGTAATTTATTGTGATTTCAAAGCTGTATTTTCAGCATCATTCCTCCAGTCTTCAGTGTCACATGATCTTCAGAAATCAGTATAATATGCTGAGAAACATTTCTGAGTATTATCAATGTTGAAAACAGTCGTGCTGCACAATATTTTTGTGGAAACTGAGATATATTACCATTTAAATGTTTGGGGTGTGTGTGCGTTTAATAAAAGTTAATGTTTTTATTCAGCAAAAATGCATTAAATTGATCAAGAGTGACAGTGAAGACATTTCGAATGTGACAAAAGATTTCTATTTGAAATGAATGCAGTTCTTTTGAGCTTTCTATTCATCTGTGAATCCTGAAAAGTAAAATGCATCACAGTCTCCACTAGGGATGCACCGATACCACTTTTTCCAGTACTCGCCCGATACCGATACTTTTATTTTTGGTACTTGCCGATACCGATATTTTTATTGCATTTGTAAATTTTTTAAATATTGGGTACAGAAACCAAAAGGGTATGTATAATGTTAGTTGGTTAACTTAATTTATCAAATAGATAGTCAAACCTAAAGGTATTCAGACACCTTCAACATTTCTCACATTATCACAGTTTATTCGCTATAGTTTAGAAAATGGTAATAAAATATGACAAGAACTCAGAGTTAAACGGTGTCTGAACAAATTCAGCTTGATAATGTCAGATAACTTTGATAGAAAGGTATGTAACAGATTACAATCAACCAAAAATGACTCAGACTGTTAGTATGACATTTACACAACTATGAATACTTAGTCAGGCAACCCTTAGCCTTAATGACAGGCTGTAGTCTCCTGGGCATGCATCCCTAGTCTCCACAAACATATTCAGCAGCACAACTGTTTTGAAGCTGGAAATGTCGCCCACATTGGTTTCTGAATCCAGATGAACAGCAGGAAATCACCAGTGAACTCCGGACTCACCCGAAGCCTCTCTTACAGTTGGGATGCTGGCCTTCGTTCAACAGCGCCTCTGGGATTCCCATCCGGCTGTTCCCGAGCCCTTCTCCGTCCCTCCAGCCCTGCTTCTCCATCACACGCCGGCCCACTCCCTACAACACACACA